AATAACATATTTTCATGCGTTTAAGGTTGTGTCCTAGGTCGATCTGTCATATGATGCTATATGGCAATCATCATCACACAACATGCTTAATATGGAAAACATCATCATATTAAGGTAAACGTCATGCAAAACATCATACTCATCATAATGCCACCAAATGCATCAAGCATTTCAAGTATGTATATCATAGCTCATACATCGTAATATAACTCACGTATGACATCATACGATATATCTCATACATCATAAATCATAAATATTTCATACGTCCTCGCAGTAATCACAATCAATCATACATCATAGCTCATACAATTTATAGCCTATCTTATAGTAAGACCACTTACTTGGTTGGCCTTAGCCGGCGTTCTCCTTAATTTTAACGTTAGCTCCTGTTTCTCAAAAGCTGCTTTAAATGTCGTCAGAGTTCGTTTCCTATCACACAGCTGTCACATTTCGTTAGTATTTTACCATTAATACTAATTCAACTAATGAATGTGAAATACGACTCAAATACCGTCATTGACGCTGCAACAAGTTCAAGATGGTTGGAACGATGGAAATTGGGCCAAAATGGCAAAATCCTAGCCAAATAAGCCGAGGAGCCGCTGGGAGCCGAGCCGAGCCACCTAAGCCGACCAAGATGAATGGCTTGCACCGCTGGTCGACACGTGGCAGTGAAGGAGTGGGCCACGTCGTGTGCAAGCGTCTCGGGTCAAGCCAAAATTCGGGTCAGCTCGCGGGTCGCGTCTACAAGCGCGGGCTGCTGTGACATATCGGCCTCAGTTTGTGGGCCTCGGGTCGTTGGGTTGCAGGCAGGGCTTACTGGGTTGCAGGTTGGGCCGCAGGTGCGTAGGATGCAAGCTAGGCTGCTAGATAACAGGTTGGGTCGTGGCTCTCAGGTTTGCAGGCTGGGCTGGCGACCCGGGTTGCAGGCAGGTCGTGGGTCACGGGTTACATCACAGGTTGCTGTCGCTGAACTGGGCCGAAGCTCACGTTGGCTGCAGGTGCGTGGGTTTGGCTGAGGCCGTTTGGGTCCAACCATAATCAATATCTGTCGGATCCTTTCTTCTTCACCTAACTCAGTTAGGATCACATAACAACGCACACACTCGATCTAGATAACACATAGAACAGGATATAGAAAATACAAGAAGAATATTGGCTAAAGAATTTGTATTGATGACTCCAAGTATGTACCGTAAAAGACAATACAGAGAATACAGTACATTTTCAAAACTCTGGGGATATATATGGTTCAGCTTACTATATGTATAGTTTTACCAAATATAACCATCTACTATATATAACTACCTGCTATACCATATATAATTTTACTATGTACAACCATTGACTAAGCTATAAATAAGCAACAGACTCTATAACCTAACAATTCTCCCACTTGGAGACTGATATAGTCAATAAGAATTTCATTCTCAAACGACCATGAGCATCTTCACTGCACCATACCAATTGAGGCTTTGCACAACCTCAATATTCCAACATCTACACATTTTGTCAACATGTTTACTGGATTCTTTGCACCCTTTATCTTCTCAAAAGACATCACCATCTTTCACTAACCTGCAAGTGAAATGGTATCGCTTTCCATGTTTTATCTTTAAATGATAGACCGGGTTCCTCACCAACTGAATGACACTCATGCTGCTTCTTGCTGCTTCTTGCCCAATTCTTCCGTATAGTCAATCATCCATATCGTCTCCTTTCCAGCTTCAGCTATTGTCACGTACTCAACCTCAGTACAACACATTTTTTAAGCCTAGACATCCCATCATCCATGGCTTACTCCCACTTAGTTGTATCCTCCAACTGTAGGGCCTCATCAAAGGGCTCTGGTTCCCTTTCATCAGCAACGGATAGTGTAATGAAGTTACATACATATCTGGTACTCCGATAGTACTAGATGATCTTCTCAACACCGATTCTAGTGTCACTTGCTCTACCGCTGGTTCCTCTGCAACAATCTCAAGAGTTTCTTGAGTATCTTCTACAACCTCACTAGGTGATTTTTTCCGTAACTTAACCTCAAGTTCCACTTGCTTTGTTGTCTTGGAACCTTGCTCTACATCTGGTTTCTCAACAGTAGTCTCTGGAGTTTCATGAGTATCTGCTACAACATCACTATGTGAGTTTCCTTATAACTCAAGCTCAACTCCCACTTGTTTCATGGTCTTGGAACCATGCTCCACATCTGTATGGACCATTTCCAACTGCACACTCTTCGATTCTTTGGGTCGTTGTGAAGCTAATTTGTTTCTGTTTACTCATAACGCAGTTCTCACAACGACTCACATCATAGATTTCAGACCTTCTTAAACTCTTTTCGCAGCCAACATTTTCATTCCTTTCACGCTCATATGTCCAAGTCTATTGTGCCATAGACTTGAGTTTGAAGCACTCTCAGCAACAGTAGCTATGTTCATACACCCTGCAATGGTGTATAAGATTCCAAATTTTGTGCCACGTGCTACCACCATAGCACCCTTCATGATCTTCCACGAACTCTTCCAATTCTGTTGCACAACCTATGCTGTCCAACTAACCAATAGAGATTAAGTTCTTCTTGAGACCAGAAATATATCTAACATCCTTTAACATCCACTGATTTCCTATCTAAGTTTTGATGCATGATTTTAGATTTGTGATAATTATATAGGCACTTTCGAACAGATTGTACAAGACGAAAGAGATATATATATGGTTCAGCTTACTACATATAACTTTACGGATATAACCATCTACTATATATAATTATCTACCATATATAGATTTAACCGATATAGCTTTTTACTCTACTATTTACTTCTACTATTTACTATTTATGACAATTTATGTTATATGTCATCTACCATATATAGTTATACTAGTTATGCAATTTTTCGTTATTTACTATTTATAACCCATTGACTCAGTTATAAATAAGCTAACAAACTAGTTGTGCAATTTTTCGGTACTTTTCTCTCTCCTTCCTGCAACATTTTTTGACGTCTTTTCTCTCCCTATCTCTCTATCAACTTCTCCTCCTCTCTTCCACGAAGTTTCGTGTTTAGTGGACTTCTGGGGAGGTAGATCGGGGTTTCTAAAAAATCCAAATTTCGAATTTTTTTCCGACAACACGAGCGACGGCATTGTGTGGGTTCTGCTTTTCAGTGGACGTACTAAGGTTGGCAATCTCTTTCACGGCGTTGGTTGGTCGATTTAGGTGAGAGGCACATCGGTTTTTGGCTCATCAAAGTTTGGATCTCTTTTTCTCTCTCAATTTTCCTTTCCGTTCTTCATTGCAAGTACTTGAGGACGTTTAGGCAGTTGGCTGAAGGTCGAGGAGAGTGTCCAGGAAATCTGTGAGCTTCGGAGTCCTGATTTCGTCCACAAGCTCCCATGATTTTGTCCACACGCTTCGGAGTCCTTATTTTGTCCCTTGATATTCATAAAAATCTCAATTTCTTATAAGGAGTACTCAACATTAAATCCAACTTTCTCACTATCTCCCACATGATTTACTTCCTTTCATCAACTAGAATAGTTTAATTAGTTTCATGCGTTACATTGTGATCATAAATTCCTATAAAACTTTTATCATGATCATAAATCTTTATTGGAACCATAACTCAATAACATTAAATCAACCTCACAATCTCTGCACCTTGGTCGTTCTCAAACTTAGCTTAAATCATTCCATTCACACCAAGGTGAGGAAGTTTCTACATTTTTGTCACTCTCAAAGCTTAATCCTTATTAAAGGCACTTATGAATTTTACATAGTTCAGCTAGTGAGTCTTTCATAATAAATTCATATTGGTTCATACCAACGCTTCAATTTTATAATTATGTATTTTGTAGTGACGAAGTTTTCTTTTGATAAAACCACTCTCAATACATATAACAGCCTATAGGATATTGTCGTCTATCAAGTCCCCTTTGTCGTTTTTATTGAAGCAAATTTACTAGTATACTTAGGGTACATCCCTTTTCATCTCTAAGGTCATAGCATTACATTTTTTTTCTTCTTCTATGTTTCAAGGCATGTGATTAGGACTTCTAATCTTCCTCAACAAAACAAAACAAAGAAGTATCCTGATGCACATGAACACATAAATTATTTTCGTATTTAATTTTCTAACCAACATCAACTTAATTGTAACGAAATTGATGGAATTTTGATCCCAAGGAAATATAGAAATTGACTTAGTGGAATGAATTCCAACGGAAACTCCCATCTCCATAGTATTGAGAACATGATAAATGTAACACCCAATAGAATGACTGGAATACATACCTGAATATACGATGGATTTTGTCGGAGAGGAAGATTTTGGGGAAAGTTCTTTTTTATTTTTTATTTTACGGTAACCAAGAACAGTTGGCTTGGATTCAGGTATATTTATTTATTTAATATTTAATTTTTATTTTTATTTTTTAAAGAGGGATATTTAATGGGAAAGTAAGTTTTTTTTTTTTTTTTTAACATTTTATATTAATTTTATTTATTTATTTAAAGTGGTTACATCTAATGCTTGTCTCCAACCTATGAGAATTGAAATTACGCTTAGGTATATTCAAAATTAAGTTCTTAACTTATGCTCATTCGTTTACTAAATTAATAGTATAATATCTCTAGTGTTGTTTTTCTCTCTAATTTTATCAATTTTGTGTTGTATATATGTTCTGTAATTCATTAAATACATTGATTGTTATTGAAATTCAAATTTTATTTTTAAAACAAGGATTAAAATAATTATATTTCTGAGTGATGAAAATAAATATGGTATAGATTTAGAGAGAAAATAAAACAATGTAAAAAAATAAAAATAAAAGGAGCTTTGCTTCTTTTGTTTGTTCAATAAAACAGGTGCAGTGGCACCCTTTGAAACGTGTCTATTCACCTCCACCACCACCACTCTCTCCCAACTATTTGTCACTTTTCTCTCCCAATTTTTGAACCTCCTTTTACAAGAACCCAAAGCAATCACCGCTTGCCCTCTCCTTCTTTTTCCTTTCTTTCTTTTTCTTTTCCTATCCATGAGGGAACCACCGCACCGAAATTCTCAAACTGTTGCCACCGCCGTAACCTCCCCTAGGAGCCGCCGGATGGATTGGTTGATGGTGTTGGTGCTCATGTTTATGTATGTTGGGATATACTTAATCCACCCATTTAAACGTTTTGTGGGGAGAGATGTGATCGCCCATCTTAAATATCCATTGATGTCCGTCACTGTTCCCTTTTGGACGGTTCCAGTAAGTCATCTCTACTTGTGAGCTTATAGTAGAATAAGTCACTAACTTTAATAACTCACTAAGAAAGAGCTTATAGTAAAATAAGTTACTAACTTTGTGAATAACTTCAGGAGAATTATTAGTAGACTGGGTGGAATTGTGGGTGGAATTGTGGACTTAATGGTATTGTGGACTAAGTTTTATATTTTAATTAAGAAGACGTTAGTAATTTTAATTCTAGCTTAGAGTGAAAGTTTAGGAAACTAAGTTAGTACTTTCTCCACTCTGGAGAAGTATGCATTCTTCACGACACCATAACAAAAAATAGAGAATTAAAAAGTTAAGTGCTTAAGGTTTCTTTTCCCTTTGGTACTTGTTTCGACATAATTCCGATCATGGGTCAAATCCAACATGTTCTTTCCATTCAACTATAAACTAGATTTGCTCAATTTGAACTAGCCTAGTAAATAGAACAACAATCGTCGTTCCAAAGGTCGACAGTCCCAATTTATTCGTTATATTAAATTTTTTATAAGATTTCATTTTTAAAGTTGAGCTAAAATTACAAGAACATTTTGATTTAGAAAAGAAACTAAAGACAAGTATTTTCATAGATAATGAAAAATGTATCCTTTGAGGGAGAAAGGAGAGCCTGATAATTATTTAGTATATTGCATGGTGGTGTTAGTGGTATGCAGTTGTGGTACCAATTGCAATCTTTCTGTTGGTGTATATGCGTAGGGGAGACCCCTATCATCTTCATAATGCCATTTTAGGTGATTATGCATCAAATTTGTTTAAACCTTTTCTTTTTGCTTAATTTGTGGCTGAGCTTCTAATATGGATCACTGCAGGCATTCTCATCTCTGTGCTCGTAACAGGAGTTCTCACCGAAACAACTAAAAATGCTGTTGGTTGGCCACGCCCCGACTTCTTTTGGCGTTGCTTTCCCGATGGAAATGAAGTACGTACGCTTGTTGCTTCAAAACATGACAATTGAAACCTATTTAAATGGGGATTTGTAGAAAGGTGTATGTGAGATACCACGTCGGTTGGGGAGGAAAACACAACATTATTTATAAGGGTGTGAAAATCTCTCACTAAGCAGACGCATTTTAAAAACTTTGAGGGAAAGCCTGGGAAAACCTAAAGATGGGTGTGGAAACCTCTCCTTAGCGGATGCGTTTTAAAAACATTGAGAGGAAGTCCGAAAGAGAAAGCCCAAAGATGTGTTGGAAAAAAAGGGATAGTGAAAGAGATAGGAATAGATAGGAATAGATGAAAGCTGCCGTGCTTTATTATTGTCTACTGACTCGATGCTTAGAGGGTTACACAATTCCAGTATTTATAGCTTATACACTGGACCAGAAATAGTAAATTATGGAATTCTAAATAAATTCAAATCTACTTACCATCTCCTAAAATCTCCTAAAATCTTGGTAGTTTGAATATTTGAATCATATCTCAACTACTTTAAATCATATATTTATCCTGAATACTTTGAATCATATCTCAACACTCCCCCTTGATTCAAAGTTACAGATGTCAAGTATAGAACTTTTCTTTTGACAAGGCCTTCGTAAGTATGTCTGCCTTAACCTGTACAATGTCTGTCTCAGCCTGTATACCTTTGTTTCTTTGTCTTTCTCTATGAATCCATCTGGTGGTGTTACATAAACCTCTTCTGGTAAATCTCCATAAAACTTTTCGTTTGATAGGTCAACCATATCCCATGTTCCATCTTTCTTAACGGACTGCATCTCTACTGCCATGGCTTTCTTCCCATCTTCTTTTTCAGTTGCTTCTTCATAATTCATAGGGTATGAAATAGTAAGAGCAAACTGACATGATGCATATATGTCAGCTAAAGATTTATACTTCCTTGGAGGTGTCTCATCCGAAAGTTCTTCAAGAGAAGAAATGCTGTTCAGTGATGCTGAAGATGATGAATTTGACACACTTTGTGTTACAGTGGATGCACTGGGAGATGCACTGGAGTTGACTCTTGTCTCTTCATTTGGTGAAACTTCAACTGTAATCTTTTGCTGCTCCTGTTCTTTACTCCAACCCAACTCACGTTTTCATTAAATATTACATCTCTTCTAACTAAAATCTTTTCACTCACGGGGTTGTATAGTTTATATGCCTTTGTTTGAGTACAATAGCCAATGAAAATGCATTTTTCAGATTTTTCATCAAGCTTTTGACGAGTTTGAGGATGTTTCAAAGCATAAGCAACACAACAAAAAATTCGTAAATGACTTACCGATGGTTTCCTTCCATGCCATGCTTCATAAGGAGTTCGATTTATAACCGTCTTTGTTGGTGAAATGTTTAATAGATAAACAGATGTTGCTATGGCTTCTGCCCAAAATTGGTTTGGAAGTTTCCTTGCTTGTAATATACTTCTTGCCATCTCCACAATAGTTTCTGGAGTGTAGGGAGCTGTTAATTCCCTTTGGATGCCCTCTTCTTCACAAAACAGATTGAACTCTTTAGATATGAACTCGCCACCTTTATCTGTGCGAAGAACTTTAATGTGACAGCCACTTTGGTTCTCTACCATAGCTTTAAAAATCTGGAACTTCTGAAACGTTTCTGACTTATGTTGTAGGAAGTAAACCCAGCTCATGCGACTATAATCATCAATGAATAGTAAAAAGTATATACTCCCACCCAAGGACTTCGTTTGCATTGGCCCACATAAGTCAGCATGAATTAGTTCTAGATAATGTGAAGCTCTTTTAGCTTTTCCAACAGGAAAGGACTTCCTAATCTGCTTGCCATAAATGCATCCTTCACATAAATTAGTTGAGTCAATTCTTGGTAATCCGAAAACCATACCTTTATCCCTGAGTATTTTCAGGCTGTTCATATGAAGATGTCCATATCTGGGATGTCATAATGTTGAATCATCTTTCATGCTAGCAGTAAGAGCAAAATCCTCCATGTTAGAAACATGGAGTGGAAACATGTTATTTGAAGTCATGGCAATTTGAACTTTATGGCCTGATTTCGTGTAATGACACATGTGTTATCATCAAATAGAACTGAGTGTCCTCGGGTCATCAATTGTCCAACACTCAATAAATTGTACCCTAAATCAGGTACAAATTGAACATTATCTAATTGTTTTATCTTACCGTGACTGGTTTCGACTTTTACGGTACCTTTTCCTTCAACTTGCATCTCTTTTGTATTTTCAAGTTGCACCTTAATCTTTTGCGTCTTATCAAGCTCTTTGAATAAGGATTTGGTGCCTGTCATATGGTTCGAGCATCCGCTATCAACAAACCATAAGTTACCTTTTTCCGGATTAGTATCCATGCACGCCACAAACAGCTTTTCTTCTTCTTCTTCTTCATTCTCTGCTGCAAAATTCATTCGTTGATTTTTATACCAACAATCAGATTTTGTGTGCCCATACCTTCTACAATGGTAACATTGTATGACATTTCTTTGTTCATTGAATTGTCTCTGTCCATCACTTCTCCACCTGTTATCACGACCACCATGGAAGTTGCGAAATCCTCCTCTTCCACGACTTCTACCTACTAAATGAATATTTTCTCTTTCGTTATTGGTTGTCTCCTTCACTTGTAGTGCCTTTTCTTCGTTCCTTTCTGATGCTCTATTGATTCTTGCCTCATGAGCCTGAAGCGAGCCCATCAGTTCATCAACGGAGAGTATGGATAGATCCTTAGCTTCTTCTATGGCGGCCACCACATGGTCAAACTTTGGAGTCAAGCTTCTCAACACATTTGCAACAATTGTTTCGTTTGAAATTTTCTCTCCATAGGTACGCATCTGACTGACTATTACCATTGATCTTGACAAAAAATCAGCAATTGATTCGCCATTCGTCATGAGTAGAGTTTCAAAATCACGTCTTAGAGATTGCAATTTCACTGTCATGACCTTTGAATCTCCTAGAAACTCCTTCTGTAGAATTGACCATGCCTGCTTTGATGTGGTTGCTGCTGCAATTCGTGAAAAGATAGTCTCATGAACTGCTTGCAGAATAATGAATAGAGCCTTAGCATCGTTTTTCTTGGTTTCTCTTAGTCTCTCATTTTCTTCTATTGTGGGTTCTAATACATCAGCAAACCCGTGCTCCACCAAGTCCCATAGCTCCTACGATCTGAGCAAGGTCTTCATCTTAATGCTCCACCACTCGTATTTCTCACCATTAAAGATTAGTAACAACGGAGCAGAGGAAGAAAAACCAGCTACTACCATTTTTGTTTTCTGAAAGAAAATAATCACTCGCCCTCGTGTCGAACGAACTTGGCTCTGATACCACAATTGTTGGAAAAAAGGGATAGTGAAAGAGATAGGAATAGATAGGAATAGATGAAAGTTGCAGTGCTTTATTATTGTCTACTGACTCAATGCTTAGAGGGTTACACAATTCCAGTATTTATAGCTTATACACTGTACCAGAAATAGTAAATCATGGAAATCTAGATAAATTCAAATCTATTGACAATCTCCTGAAATCTTTTAAAATCTTGTTAGTTTGAATATTTGAATCATATCTCAACTACTTTAAATCATATATTTATCTTGAATACTTTGAATCATATTTCAACAAGATGGGTTTGGAAACCTCTCCCTAGGAGACGCGTTTTAAAAACCTTGAAGGGAAGCCTGGAAAAGGAAAGTCTAAGGAGAACAATACGTAGCAGTTGGCTTTAAGTTCTTACCATGTTTCTTGCTACTTGGGTGCCACATAGCTTATGTTGTCTGCCTCTTGAGATTTAATCAGATTTAATATCTGCTAGTGGTGGGCTTGAGTTGTTAGAGTGAATCTTGCTACTTGGGTTCTATCTTGACATAGCATCACTTATAAATGCTTATATTTTCTGCCCTTGAGATTTAATCAAATTTCATTTCGAATGTTATTCATTTGTTATATCTTTAGGTTTACGATCGAATGGGAAATGTGGTATGCCATGGGAAGAAAAGTTACGTGTTGGATGGGTACAAGAGTTTTCCAAGTGGTCATGCTTCATGTAGGCAAAAACATGCACTTTTTCTTCCCTTCACTCAACTCATTACCAATTTCAAGTCATCCCATCATATAGCTCCTAAAATATTGCCATGGAAATAGTCCTTTTTTGTAAGAAAAGAATGGTTTTGTTGGCAGGGTCATTTGCTGGTCTTGGTTTTCTCTCATTATATTTATCAGGAAAGCTGAAGGTATTTGATCATGGAGGCCATGTTGCAAAATTACTTGTGGTTCTCTTCCCTTTGTTGGTTGCTTATGTTGTTGGGATCTTTATGGTGAATGACTATATGCATCATCCCCAAGATGTCTTTTTTGGTTCTCTCATGGGTAAGTGCTTCTGATTTAATCTTTTGTTTACCTTTTCTAAAATAATTTGTAATATTTTGGTTATGGAAGAAATTATTGTTTGTGCAGGTCTTTTAGTGGCCACTCTTGTTTATTTTCAGTTCTTTCCATCCCTATTTCATCATCATCAAGGTAAGATTTCTCAAAGCTTCTTTGATTTTTGAAGCCTTTAGAATGATGTATTTGGTTTTGATGTAGATGTTTTCATCCCAACTACGGAACAATCTCGAACAAATGATCAAACAAGCGACATTCCAGTGAATGTTGTTGATAGGTCGATAGACATCGAAGCCCCTGCCCCCCTCGAAAGTAGAGAGAGGTGACTTCATATAAAGTAGAAAGACTATCATTTTCTCGCCTCGAGACAAAATAGAAGAACAAGGTTTCAAACTCAACTCACTTGGCGTAATTATAGTTAACATTTTGTTTCGTGTTCATTGGATTAATTAATTTAGGAAGAAGTTTTGCATATAACAGCTAGATGAACATATCATGACAACATTAAGAATGGTCTTGTTTTGTAGGGAACATGCTCACCAGCCTCTCTTATATATTTGGACTACATAAATCATATTTGTATGAGAACGTGTGTGTATATTTATGATTGGAAACAAAATCCATTTGTTTCAAGATCACTATTACTGAATTAAGGGAGATGTACATTTGTTTTGGTTAGAATTAGTCTATACATACTTATATATGAGTTGTTGGGACACGTGAATAATTGGATACACGAAGGTACATGAATCCATACATGAGTAACACTAAAAATGTCTCATCTCTAGCTCCTACTTAACACTATAAAACATCAAATTTTGAGATATTCAAATAAATATTTACGAGGACAAAAATATTTACAAGGAGAAAAGGGGAGAAAATTGTAGAAGAGGTAAAAAGAGAATCAAATTAAAACTAGCCTCAAATCTAGACTTTAGGCTCAAAATCCAAACTCAAGTCTAAACTTTAGCCTCGGCGGACAAATCATCCGAACCTAAGGTATAACTGAAGCTTGGCAAACTTGGGAGTTTAACCTACATGTCAACAACCCATGCAAACACGACCTAGTTTAGCTTCACGTCTCAGCCCAATCGAGCTCTTAGCCAACCCAGCATCCTCACAACCCACAATCAGCAACCCACTCGGTTGAACAGTCACTTGTAGATACATGTATGAATAGATACATGTGTTGAAGGGTCACTTGTACATGTATAGATATATGTATAAGTACTTATATATATATAGGTAATTTGGGAGATTCCCCAATACCATTTCATTATTCAAAAGTCATGTTCCTAAACCTATATGTATCTATTCATATATGTACTTATACATATATCTATACATGTACAAGTGACCCTTCTCCTTGTTCTTGGCCAGCTTTAGCTCCAGTAGCGATTCTTGCTCAGGTGTCCTCTCTTCCCACAATTCCTGGATCGGCCTGCCATTGGGTCGACTCCTCCTTTTGATTTCCATCTTTCCCGCGCGGCGGCGGCGTGGAGGAGTGAGTGAGCCTGCCGCCCGAGATGGGCCCCACGATGTGTGTGTTTTCACGCTTTGCATTTTCTTCTACTCGAACCTGAGACCTGTGTGTTGTTAAGTCGACACTCTAACCACTTGAGCTATTCAACATGTTTGTTGATAAGATTGGCTCTTCTTCAATGGTATACTACCGATCGCTTCAACAAGGCTCTGATACCACTTGTTGACTCTGGCAATTCGGAGGACAATGTCGACGAAAAATGGCCGAAGGTTTCTTCGAAGGAAAAATTAGCGGAAGTAAAAGGAGAGAGGGAGAGAGATTCGCTGATATTTTCTGAAGACTCGATATTTTATTTTCATTCAATTGAATGGTTTAAATAACAAATCTAATTACAAAAATAGAAAAATCAATTATACAAAAATAGAAAAGTGGACAAAGACTTCGCCCAAATTGCCAAAACAATGGCACCTATAATCACGCTCTTCCATTCGCGTGAATTCAGATGTTTTTACAAACCTAACTAAATAAGGCACATGGCTTTTATTTAACATTGATAACTTCGTTCAACCCACTATCCCGAGATTCGATGGTCACTATGACCATTGGGCGATGTTGATGGAAAATTTCCTCCGATCAAAGGAATTCTTTGATATGGTTGGCAGCATCGAAGTTGAAGGACGTGAAGGTCAAAAACTATTTACTCCAGTCCATTGATCGGACTATCTTAAAAACGATGCTTCAGAAGAAGACATCCAAGGAAATTTGGGATTCAATGAGGAGGAAGTATCAAGGCTCAACAAGAGTAAAGCGTGCTCAACTTCAAGCCGTTAGAAGAGACTTTGAAATTCTCCAAATGCAAAAGGGAGAAACAGTGAATGATTATAGTGGCAAGATTATGACTCTTACAAGTAAAATGAGGATGCATGATAATTCAATCACGGGTGTTGCGGTTATAGAAAAGATTTTGCAATCTCTAACTCCAAAGTTCAATTACATTGTATGTTCTATTGCAGAAGCAAACAATGTCGAAGAGATGCAAATAGATGAACTTCAAAGCTCCTTGCTAGTGCATGAGTAGAAGCTTAATCACACGAGTGCAATAGAGGAGATGACAGCCTTAAAGATATCCACACCCGATGAAACTTCAAGCTCTAGAGGTAGAGGGCAGAGAAGAGGCAGAGGTCATGGAAGAGGCAGTCGAGAAAGAAGTGGAGATGTTGGCAGGTCAGCAGATATAGTCAGAGACGATTATGAAAACAAAGGCAAGAGACATTTTGACAACTCTAAAGTGGAATGCTACAAATGTTGACGTCTTGGACATTACAAGAATGAATGTTATACCAAGCTCCAAACGGAGAAAAAAGATCAATCCAACTTTGGGGAGAAAAGAGAAGAAGAAACATTGTTAATGTCATTCCATGCTATGAAGGTTGCAGATCAAGGTGTGTGGGTCGTACACTCTGGATGCAGCAACCATATGACAGGTTGCAAGGAACTCTTCTCAACTCTGGAAGAAAATTTTCGTACTACTGTTTGTCTTAGCAACAATGCAACAGTCCAAGTGATGGGGATGTTAGATAAATCCCTAGGTTGAAAATCATTCCTAGTTTTCCGTTACTATTTTTTAGGTAACTATTTTTCTGTTAAACCCACGCAATTGAATGAGTGGGAAGTCCACGTAGTGGTAGAAGTTTAATTAAGTTGCTCACTCCTTTCCATTTTTAGATGTAATTTGTTACTAAAATATCTCAACTGAATGAGAAATAAAATCATCGGGTCTTCAACACATACTGTCTCTCTCTCTTTTGTTTTTCCATTATTTTCTTCTCCCAACAATTTCTTCGGCTTTTTCCTGATTTCCTCACATTCACTCAGTGAAAGACAACAGGGGAAAGGAACAGTGGATATCAAGACTAGAAATGGCTTTGTAGAGTCAATTTCTAATGTGTTTTACATTCCTGATCTGAAAGCCAACTTGCTTAAATTGCAAGAAAAGGGGTATGTGATCACATCCCAAAATAATGAAGGTGAGATTTATGTTGTATTTCCGTAATCGGCCAGGGAAATCACCGAGAGGATATTGTCGACAGGAGGTTGTTGGAGGAAAGATAAAATGCGTAAAATAAGAGAGAGAGAAGGACTGAAAGTTTGACTGCTCTTCAAAATCCGGTTGTGAAATCTTGTAAACAGATTTCCTATTTAAATACAACCTATCCTAAAAATGGGTGGAGAGTGGCCAACTGAATCTGTGCCACTTCCTAGAAAATTGACGTCTAAGAATTCGCTAATCCATTCGACGTGTTTGTCAAATGGTCAAAGGGAAATTAAATGTAAACGTGTGAATCTAAATAAAGAAAAAACAAAGGTTTTATCTAACAATTTATGACTCCAAAAGAGGATCGATTGCTAAGATGTAGATGACCACTAACCGCTTATATTCATTGACGTTAAATATCGTTGCCAGAAGTTTGGTGGTGAAGAAAGAAGATACCAATTGGCTTTGGCATTTTAGGTATGGTCATCTACACTTTAAAAGGTTAAAGACGTTGTCTTCAAAGAAGATGGTGACTAAGTTGCCAGACATCACTCCTCCAACAGAAATTTGTGAAAGCTTTCTGGTAGCAAAGCATGAAAGAAATTCTTTTCCATCTGGAAAATTGAGAAGAGGTCAAGCAATTTTGGAGTCGGTGCATTCAGACTTATGTGGTCCGATCTCTCCAGCATCAAATGATAACAAGAAATATTTTATGACCCTTATTGATGATTTTAAGTAGAAAACCATGGACTTATTTCTTGCATGCCAAATTAAAAGCCTTTGATTGCTTCAAGAAATTTTGTGCTACTATGATGACGGAAACTGGAAGAAGAGTCAAGGCTTTAAGAACTGACAGAGGTGGAGAGCTTTGATCGAACGAGTTTATTAAGTTTTGTGAAGAGAAAGGTATAAGGAGGCAGTTGACAGCAGCATGTACACCACAACAAAAGGATGTGGCCGAAAGAAAGAACAGGATCATTCTCAACATGGTTCGAAGTTTGCTAAATAAAGGAAAAGTTCCGAAGGAATTCTAGCCAGAAGTTGTTGTGTGGTCCGTTCACATTCTCAATCAGAGCCGTACTTTCTCTGTTAGAGATATGACTCCACAAGAAGCATGGAGCGGAAGGAAGAAACTTGAGGACAAGAGTTTGGAAATGTGTGTTTCTTGGAGTAAGCGAGACTTCTAAGGCGTACAAGCTCTATGATCCTTTGACAAAGAAGGTGGTAGTAAGTCGCGAGGTAATCTTTGACAAAAAAAAGACTTGGACATGGGAAGAAAAGATCACTGTGAACCAGCAGATTTCTGTAGATCTTGAAAAAGAACAAGCTGAAGCCCATATTCAGCCTCACCATGAGCCTAGAGAGAGCTCATCACAAGCTCAACAAGGAGATTCAGTAGAAGAGGAAGATCATGATCACAATTAAAGAAATCCAAGAACAAGAAAGAGACCAACTTGGATGATTGATTAAGAGATGGATGATGACTCAAGTAATAGTGCTTATTTTGCATTCTTTATGGATAGTGATCCAATTTTCTATGAAGAAGTTGTAAAGGAGAAGAAATGGAAAGAAGCCCTAGACAGTGAAATCAAATCCATAGAGAAGAATAAGACTTGGAAGCTTACTGATCTTCCTAAACAGTAGAAAAAAATTGGAGTAAAATGGGTTTTCAAAACCAAGTTGAATGAACATGGTGTGGTGGATAAGTACAAGGCACGAGTAGTTGCAAAAGGATACAAGCAGAAGTATGAAGTTGATTATAAAGAGGTATTTGCACCAGTAACACGTCAAGATACTATAAGGCTTATAATTTCTATTGCAGCACAGAAATCATGACCTATTTATCAACTTGATATGAAATCAATCTTCTTACATGAAAGCTTCAAGAAGAGGTATATGTGGAGCAACCAGAAGGTTTTGTTCAAAAAGATAAAGAGGAAAAAGTGTATAGGTTGAAGAAAGCGCTGTATGGTTTGAAGCAAGCTCCGACAGCATGGTACAGTCGCATTGATTCTCATTTTGAAAAGATGGGATTCACTAATGCCCATATAAACATACATTATATTGAAAACTGAAAAGGGAGGTAACATTCTCATTATTTGCTTATATGTTGATGATTTAATATTTCCTGGCAATAATGAAGAAATGTTTGAACTTTTTAAGAAGAGCATGATGAAGAAATTTGAAATG